TACTCCCCCTTCAAACTGAATAGCTCTGCCTTCATCTCCTCTGTGCATTGAACTGTCCATTTTATAGAGAAGGACCTTTCCTAACAGGAAAAAGTCTGTACCCCACTGATAGAGTCCAAGTATACAGGCAATTTCTGAACATCGTCTACAGTCATATTAATAAATGGAGGTAAATACAGCGATTGTGTGTTTCCCGATGTTACTGTGATCCTAATTTATAACTATAGTAAAGCTTGTTTAGGTAACCATTATTAGTGGAACAGTGTGCATAAAGCACTCAACACTGTATTTGAAATTAGAATTTCCTGAATATAGTCTTTCACTCCAGGGGAGACACAGATAATGCATTTCTCATTGGGTATGAAATCTGATGTCAATAGAATTATTGAAAGTCTTTGTGAAATGGTAATTTTTGGTTTGAATATTGTGACAGCAGGTGGAGCTAGTAGTAGAAACTCTATTTCTAGGCCATTTAAAGAGCAGCAAGATATATAAGACTTACATTAATGTGTTTGCACCACAAAGCTTCAGGAATAGTAAATACTAAGTATTAGCATTGGAAAGTGATCATATTATTAAAAGAGGAGAGCCTAGCTGACTGAAAACTCGATGTTTTTAGAGATGGGGCTTGCCTTTGGATGTGTGCTGTCTGGGAAGATACATGAAGAAAGAAGGGGGAGAAGCAGTGTGTTTAATGGTTTAATGTGTATTGGGTATCCTTGACCCCTAGTGTACTGACTTTAAACAATAACGTGTATGAGTCTGTGAAAACAGTATGAACGAACTTGATCACACATACAGAGCTATTTGTGTTATTAGATTGTTTCTCTTTTTAAGTGATAAAAACATACAATCTAAATCTCTGTATATAGAATATATCTATATATTTTCTCTTAGGATAACTGAAGAACATTTGATTTTTGTCTCGCGAGATTATGGAATAAAGACTTGCATAGTTTATAGCTCCAAACTAGTGCATCATCTGAATATGTAATTTAAAAGGTATCACCGGGGCTGGGGATTTAGCTCAGCGGCAAAAGCGCCTGCCTGGCAAGCGCAAGGTCGTGAGTTCGCCGGTACCGGAGAAAAACCAAAAAAAAACAATAAAAGGTATCACCAGTCATATGGTTTGTTTCCTTGCGAATCACACTGGAGACTGTATAACGGTGCTCCTCTTCCAGTCCTTTCTCTAAGTCAGATGCAGTGATAATAAAAACAAATATTCTGTATGCATTTTCTTCTTTCAGAATTTTGCTTCCTTCTTACTAGGTCATTATATAATAAGAAATGGGAGTTTCTAAAATGGTAGTTTATTTTGCTGGCTATGTGAATAAAAAGTGACCTACATTTTGGCACTAGTTTTTAGAATTATAGGATGATGTAAAACATACATTACAGGGGCTGGGGATTTAGCTCAGTGGCATGGCGCCTGCCTGGCAAGCGCGAGGTCATGAGTTCGATTCCTGGTACTGGAAAAAAAAAACCAAAAAAGAAAAGATAGACAATTAAAACATACATTACATTTAATACTTTTTGCTGAAAACTAGAAATAACGCCTTCCCAGTCTTACTTATTATGTATTATTAGCAAGCATGTCACTAACGATTACTACATGCCAGGCCTCATGCTAAACATGGGGATGAAAGTTTGAATAATGTGCAGTGTTTTCCCTTGGCATATCTCAGACAAACATGTGGCCAGATAATTACCATAGGTCCTAGTCCATTTGACCATAGTACTGTCAGTACTGGGTTTTGGCCATGGCAAAGGAACTCAGAAGTCAGACAAGCCTTCAAAGAGCAGGTAATATGTGAGGTGCATCTGGAAGGAGATGTGAAAAATCACTAGGAGAAATAAAGGAAAAGCTGCGTTCCAGACAGTGCGTTTGTGCATGCAGGTGCTGATAGTCTTCAGTTTTGGAGAAGTAGCAGGACGTTCGCTAGGGAGTCTGGAGAGGCTGGGTGAGATGGTGGTGAGTCTCACAGAATGCACAATGATCAGTGGATAAATTATATAAGAATTTCAACAGCTCTAGCTTTTGTTTAATTGATAACTTTTTGAAGTTCATGAATCTAGAGTTATGGATATGATCTTATGGGAGCATGCTGGCTAGACTTCAGTTTTAACCTCAGCATTTAAAAATATGTTCTCTAGTCACAATGGTGATTAGGTGGGAATGGAGTGGAGCTGCATCAATCTCTATCCTTAGCAACTACCAAAAAAAAAAAAACCACCAAAAAATTACACACCCTACCTCCATACAGCACAGTCAGCTTTGTGTAGCAGCAGGTGCCACTCTTCAGCCAACTGCAGATGGAAAATATTCTATAAGAGTTGCACCTGTACTGAGCATGTGCAGACTTTGGTCATTATTCTTAAATGATTCAGTGTAACAACTGTTTATGTAGTACTTTCATTGTATTAAGTATAAGTAATCTAGAGATGATTTAAAGTACGTGGGAGGATGTGCATAGGCTATATGCAAATATTGCACTATTTTTCATAAGAGACTTAAGTTTCCTAGATTTCAGTGTCCTGGGGGTTCTTGGAACAGCCCCTACAGATACCAGAGGGTGAGTGCATTTATTGTCCCATGCCCTGCTAGCTGTAGGCAGATGTGCTTTCTTGCCCAGAGGGAACATCAGTTGCCTCCTTGACTTTTTCGTCTTGTTACTAGGCCACTCAGGTTCCTGTGCTCAGGTCCCTCTGCTCACTACTTCCCAACAAACTGGGGAGGTGTGGTAAAAACGAAGAAGGCTTTCTTCAGAGGAAGCCCGGGAAGACAGAAAGGCCTCATGTTCCCTCAGATTTCTCCTGTCCCTGTGGAGAGGTGGCTGGACCTCTGTAGGTGCCACTGTCTGCATATTCTGTCCGTTTATCTGAGCCAAGGAGAACAGGGGGTGGAGCTTATGCCCTAGGCCTGAGGAAGTTTGGAGGAGCCACTGGCCTCTAAAGAAAACCTTATAACTTTTAAAGTTTCATTTGCACTGCCAGTTATACTCTTAGTTGTCTCTAAGTTGTCTCTAAAACACTGACCATTAAACATAACCAAAGCATGACACTTTATTTCACTCCCAATTTTGTTCTGTCCGTCATCTTTTTCATGTCCTTGCATGACCCTTCAGACCACCAAGTTCTGAACCCAGAATCAGTGGGTTGTCCTTGATATCCTCTTTCTTACCTGCCATGTGTCGTGCCTCCTCAAGTCGTGCCATTTCTTTTCTCACGTGTATCTGGGTGCCTTTTCCTCCGCTCACTGCTGCTGCCAGTGCCCAAGAAGCTACAGCTCTTACCAGGAGGCCCCTAACTGACCTCCCTTTTTGCACTTTTTACCTTTTTCCCCTCAATCCTTTTTTCAAGACAATAACCTGAAATATGTTTTCAAAAATTAAATCAGATCTTATCATTTCTCAATCCAAACCTTGTATTCACTTTCTCTTGGAATACAAATAAAACTGAAGTTATTTACTGTGGGCCCACAAAGGTCTGTGCATTCTGGCCCTGCCTGCCCTGCTACTCTTTTCTGTCTCTGTCTCTGTCTCTGCTGCCTTCCTCTCCTTCTTCCTCTTCTTTTTCTCCTTCCTCCTTCTCCTCTTCTTTTTTGTCTCTGTCTCTCTCACCACTCCAGCCACATGACCTCTTTTCATTTTCCCATTTTCTCACCCCATGGTCTTGGTACAGATTGTTTCCACTGCCTGGATGGCTCCTCTTCCCATGTTGTAAGACCATATTGCTAAGATCCATCATGGTTTGTGTTTTAGCTTAACCATCTCCTCCTCTAAGCGCTCACTCCTTTGTCACAGTCTCTGCTACAAGAGGATTCCCAGGACCGTTACAGCCTCCCACTCCTCACTGCACCTGCCCAGTTTGTAATTGTGTGCATGTTTGCAGTTGAACCTGCATAGTAACTCTCTCCCCAAGTGGCCCAGTATTTCCCTTGGAACTAGAATCATGTCTGTTCTCTTTCTCTTTCTATTTCCAGAACTTAACAGGGCCTCACACACAGTAGATTAAGAAAAAGTTACAGAAGAATTACTTAAAGACATAAAGCTAGATTGATTTTTTTTTAGGTAATACATCTTTAAGGAAGACATGGGAAATTACAAAAATTCTTTCAGCTTTTTTTTTTAAGCCATTGGAACTATTTTAGGAAAGGTATATTGCTAAGTATTAGTTCTGTCATCCAAAGGAAAATGTTGCATGTGATTATTATATGATTTGGGTCTATTTTTAAAATAGAGTGATAAGTTTTAATGGAAAGCCTGCATTTAAAAAATGACTACTCTTTTTACATATTTAGGGCCGAGTTCACTAAAATGTTTAAATTCTTGGCTCAGCTCCTTAAACCTACTACAAATATCACATTAGAATTCATTTTAATAGACACTGTAAGCACAGTATCCAATCTCATATCATCATGCTGGGCTCTTTTATTATGAAAGTCATAGGAAGCTGAGCCTGAGGCTGCTGAACACATTGCGGGGTGTATCCAGGGCTGGGGACAGTGCCAGCTCTATTGTTTATGTAATATTCTCTCCACCTTTGTCTGTGGTGTGCAATGGGTATTGACTTTTGAGAAACAACTTCTTTGACCCCATCTCCCAGTTGGAAAAAAACCTGCCAAAATGACATCTGGCTAGGAAAAAAGGGATCAAAGAAGCATAAGGAAAGAAAAATTATGAGAGCTGTTTAATAAGTAGTTTTTTTTTTGTCTCTTTTAGATCTGTTAGAGGGAAGAATGTCAAACTTTTTTAAGGTCACCATTCCTTTATCCTTTAAAAAAGCTCAATGAAACCTAAGGGTATCTTGTTTCCACTATAGATTGCGAGGGTTGGTTTTACTTAGAACATAGTAAAATGTCATTTTGACTTTAAGAGTAAATCCGATTTACTGAAATTAAGATAAAATTTGATTATTTGTGATATTTATCACTGTTCATATCTGTTTTATTTTTTCTTAAAGAAGAAGATAGTCATCTTTGTTTTTCTCCAAACTTTTAGGCATAGTACTTGGGGAGTTTTTAAATATTGTAAGGAAAAAGAAGGAAGCTCAACTGTATTGGAATGAGATAAGACACATCTTCACAGCTTTTGATGTGCACTGTAAGTATTTTTAAAGTGTTTAAAGTGCTACAGTATAAAAAAATTGCTAATGAATTGTGAATGGGAATGTATTAAATCAAATATACAATATACTTGGTGGATTATTTTACTGTATTCTTTAGCTATTACCTTAGGTTTTAGTGTGCTTTTTTTGCTCCAGTATGATCTTAAATTCTTGTCGTATACTGTGGGTGAAATATTTACAGTTATGTAATTGTACTTATTTATATGTTATACTTCTGTACTTACATACTGTACCTGTATTACATCTTGGTGAGAGCAAAAGGACTGAATTTAAGGGGATACAGGCTACAAACCACCCATGGAAGTAAGCAGCCGTCTCATTCTACTCCTCCTCTGAGCCACACGTTTGGAGAAGTTGTTTTTCTCCACTAGATGTGGTGGAGAAGGGTTGCCACAGGTCCCCAACCCCACAGATCCCATACAGGATGAAAAGATTTGCAATTATAGGTTCAGTATCTTCACTGCTACTGTATTTCCCTCCTAAATGAGACATTGCAATTTAATACCAAGCAAGAAAAAAGCTGAATTTTGAAGACTGAAATATTTTGGCAGTTTACAAAGACTTGAAGTTTAAAGCCATATCACAGTCATGTCTGTGCATAGTCCTTCCCCTAGGACTTAGAGGATCAGCAAAATGGCAGGGCTTGCAGTGATTTTCAGGGTGATCTGGGACTGCACTGAGCAGGAGCCTCTTACTGGGTCCTTAAGTTCCTCCAATAAGACAAGATCAGATCACCTTGTATGTAAAGTCAACTGTAAATTACTGCTTCTCTCCTATAATATTAAAATAAGATTTTATACATACCTTACAGCTGAAATAATAGTTCGTGGGGTTTATAGAACAAAGTAAAAGTTTTATTTTGTTTTCAAATAGATCGTGGCTATTTAACTTTGGAAGATTTCAAAAAAGCATTCAGGCAGGTAGCGCCCAGATTACCAGCAAGGACTGTTCTTGAAGTATTCAGGTAAGACACCCGTCTCTCTCTAGCCATCCACTCTCTGATTTACCATTGGCTTTCACAGAGAACCTTGCACTGATTTTTCACTTGTGGACATTTCCATCTCACAGGATAGTGCCATGATCTGGGAGAGAAATCTGCAGTAAGCCTTAGTTCAGCAACACCCTTGACAGTGGGTGCTGAGGTAGATGCAAACTTGCACACCAGGAAGATGCATAAAAACACTTGTTGGCAGTGCCAGGGAAGGAGCAGAACTGTGTGTGTTTATATATCAACCAAAAATGAAGCTTTCTTCATATTTAATGTGGATACTAGTGTTCTCCTATGGTCTGGGTTTGTCAGACTCAGGTTATGCATGGTTCTTAAGTAGTCTGGGGAGAAAGGTTGGAAGTGCCCAATGGTGTATGGTTACTCGCTTGCTTTATAAGAGGCTGTTGACGTGTGTTGCAGTTCACACATACCCGATAAAGCTTACAGTATGTGTTTCTGAAGAACTAATCTGGAGTGGACAAGTAACTTATAAGTAGTTTCTCTTAAGAAGCTGCAGGCTGAAGGTAATATTAACGGTGTGAGAAAATGGCTGTGCTGTCTCTTCTCTGACACCTTGCGTGAGCTCTTCATTTACTGCCATCAGATCTTAATTAGGGTTCGGTACACCAGTGAGAACCAGAAAGCCAAAGATACTGAAAGCTCAAAAAATGTCTTTCTTTCTCACATAAACATAGCAACCCAGAGCTGACTAATGACAACACTGTGAAGGAACCAGGTTCCCCATTTCTTGTTGCTCTGGCTGCCTTAACACCTGGCTTCTCCTTGCTTCAGTATGGCTGCTTAAAGGTACAGCTATCAAATCTGAATTCCAGCCAGTTAGGAGGAAAGGAGACAAGATCTACGCTTCCTTTTAAAGCTACAAATTATTCCTCCTTAAGTCCCGGAGGCTGACTCTTAGATACAGAGCTACATGTCTCTGGAAGGGAAAGGGTACGGGAGATAGGGAACTGTAGGCTTTGCTTTGGGCATTCATGGGCTTACTAATAGAGGTTCTGAGAGTAAGGGGTGAGAGAGAATGAGTATGGGGATATCTGGCAGATATTCCCATTTGGGAGAAAAGTAATTTAGTGAAATCTGACCAGAAGCCAGCTCTTCGCAATGGAAATTAGCAAGCAGGTTATTTGAATAAGAATCTGCACACATTATCATTAACAGTGACTATATGGAATGCATTTGCTGCATCATTCACAAGCAAGCTATTGAGCTGGAAGAAAAGCAAAGAAATTAATGCCAGAGGCATACAAGTGTTACTGTTTAAGACAAGATTACTTAGTTGATTTTGTAAAAGCAAGTTTTTTTAAAGTATACATCCTTTTATACACTTGCAATGAGATTGGTAATGAATATCAATATATTTCTACCACACAGAAGTTGTTTTTCCCACGAGGAACTAAAAATTGTTATTCCCTTTTCTTTTACGGAAACATAAGTTGGCCACATTTGCTGGCTTTCATGTGATAAATGGTTTTAGTAAATGCTACCTTGTAGAGAGATTTTTGAAAAAATATATTTTTAAATATAGCCCTTCAAGGTAGAAGCAGTGTTTTAAGAAATGAGCTAGGAAGTGACTGCTTTCAGAATAAACCTGTTCTTCAAGGGAGGATTTTTAAAAATAGATACTTGGAAGTGTGATTTTATGTTAAATGTGACGTGTTGCCTTTGGAAACTCTAAACATCTTCATGTTCATTAATTTGGAAATGGGATGTCCTAACCTTGCTGAAATATCTTACAAAGTTTCTGTGGTTTTATGCCGCAATTTTTTAACATATACAAATTCAATAGCTTTATTTATTTTTATTTTTATTTTTTTTTGGCTTTTTCTGCAGTACCGGGAACCGAACTCACGACCTTGCGCTTGCCAGGCAGGCGCTTTGCCGCTGAGCTAAATCCCCAGCCCCTTCAATAGCTTTAATAAGTTTTCAAGAGCGAGGATTTGATATAAGGAAAGATGAACATTTATTAACTGAAGTTCAGTTAGCAATAACATAATAATAATAATAGCAATAATAAAATTGAAATCCTAAACCCCTAGTCTTTTTCATTATCAAAGGATGGAATTAAAAATTGAGGTTATCAGGGCCATGGTTGCCTTTTCTCATTTAGATTGCTGTAATTTGATGAAGTATCTATGTGAGCCACTAAAGCCAAAGCAAACAGAACTTTACATTGCTCAATCACAGTGGAATAAACCAAGATGTGCAGAAATAAAGCTATACTATATCACATTATTCTTGGTAAGTATTACCAGGAATTTCTGGTGACAGCCAAGAATCACTTGTCATTAATAAATATCTTTATCAAATTATTTAGAAATTTTTATATTACATTTTTTATAATGTACATATTAATATAATAGCACATGTGCATATAATCTATAAATACACAATATTCACATTGTGGATTGTGTGTGCCTACATCTTGTACTATTTACTGGAGTTTGTTTTATTTATTTATTTATTTATTTATTTTTGTTTTGTTTTGTTTTTGGTTTTTCTCCAGTACCGGGAACCGAACTCACGACCTTGCGCTTGCCAGGCAGGCGCTTTGCCGCTGAGCTAAATCCCCAGCCCCATTACTGGAGTTTTATATTCAAAACATTTCGGAAACCACTGCAATATCAATCAAAACAAGGCGTTTTAGTTAGAGTAAGTAGGCCCTCAATTATTTTGTTAAGTCATGTTAAAACCATAATCCATAAGCCAGAATAAACAGTGAGTAAATGTGTTAAATGAAGTTCTGAACTGAAAAGGGAGAGAAAAATATTTCTACTTTGAGTAAGTGGAAATACAGTATGCCAAAGAAATAAAGATATCTAACACACACACACATACTCTTGTTTCAGTGGTGCAGACAAGTTTGAAGAACAAGGGAAAACTTCAGCTTGTTGAGGTTATCAGTAATGCAAAATTTCATAATGTTTCTCAGGCTTTTTGAGAAGCTAGGGTAACTTGGAACTGAATTGACAAGCATGAATGGAGTTTGTTACTCATTCTCACACTTAACCAGAAGAAAACTGGCATCTGAGGAGCACTGTAAGAGGGTAACTAGAGAGGGAAACTTCAACTAGACCAGAGTCCTTAGGGGTTCAAATGACTGAAGAAATAAATATTCATAATCTTCAATGCAGTGACTGCCTAGCTCTTTGCAAAGAACTTGCTAGAGATTAATAGTAGTTTTTTTCAGAAGCACTTGTGTTATTTGTATATTTCTATCTGGATGTACCCCACAAAGCCTAATGTAGTCATGGAGCAGGCTTCTAGAGTTTATGATTGATCCATGGTCCAATGGTAGGATTATGGGTGGGAATGCTACACCTGCCCTGGGGCAGGTAGCTTGCATACAGTATAAGGGCGGGAAAGAGGCTTGCTCCTCCAGCTGCCACTCCTCCCTTTTGCTGTTGTTTTCCGCTGCCATGAATGGGTGCCCTGTGCCACGTGCCATTCTGCCTTGGAGCCAGCCAAGTATGGACTGAAACTTGTACAAACTGTGAGCTAAATAAACCTTTCCTTCCTTAATTTGGGGTGTTACGTATTTTATTTCAGCACCAAGAGAAAAGTAACCAAGAACAACTTGCCCATTAATACTTTCATTTTGTAAACCAAGCCAAACCACAGCAGTAAAACTAACCAGCCAACCAAATAGACATCAGAAACAAATAATCCAAAGAAAGAGTCTTGGACATGTGGCATTAAAGAGTCATTATACTTTATTACTTGATATTGACACTGGAATATCACTCCCTAATTCTAAGAGTGTTGCAAGAACTAAATGAGGTTCTTTTATAAGGTTGGTGAATTGTTGCCTAACTTTTCTGCTGTTTACTTTAGTGATATTTATTATAAATAAAAGTAATGTGGTTTTAAAATATATATTGTATAGAAATACATATATTGTGTATATATATACATATATATATATTTACTGTTGTGGTTCATAGAATTCACATTCTGTTCTTCAGTCATCTGTTTTGTTATCATCTTAGTTCTGTAATTAAGTGAACTGAAAGCTCATCTCCAAGCCATGTGCCACAGCTTTCACCAAGCTGAAGTTTATCTTCTTTTAGGGATCACCAAAACTCTATTCCTTGCTGTCTTTCATACTAAAAATATTTATGTTGGCCTTTATACATAAATAAAGTTATATAATGGATCAAGGGCTGGCATTTTGGAGTCATCTTCAGTTTCATTTGTCTTTGGTACTGTGAATTGAACTCAGGACCTCACACTTGCCAGGTAGGTGCTGTGCTGCTGAGCTAAACCCCTGGCCCTTCTTCATTTTCCATTCCTTTCCTTCTTTTCTTTTTCTCTGTTTCTCTTTCTCTTTCTCTTTCTCTTTTTTCTCCTCCCTCCCTCCCTCCTTTCTTTTCTTCCTTCCTTTCCTCCCTCCCTTCCTTTCCTCCCTTCCTCACTACTTTCCTTCCTTCGTTCTTCTGGTACTGGGGATAGAACCCAGGGCCTCCCTACTGAGCTATCTCATCCTTTAAAAAAATTTTTTTTTGACATAGGGTTTCACTAAGTCACTGATTTGCTCAGGCTGGGCTCAAGCTTGTAACCCTCCTGCCTCAGCCTCCCAGAGTGTTGGGATTACAGATGTGTGTCACCACATCAGGCTTCTTTTTCCATGAAATGCTGTTTTATACTTATGTTAAAAGTCCCTTTACATTTTTTCTTAGTTTCCACTTTATTTGCTTGCTCTACTCACCACATCTTTTATTATATTTTCGGTAGTGTCGATTCTCCTTTGTGTTGTGTGCAAGATGCTTTTTTTGGTTTTATTTTTCTCTTAAACTTCTTTCTTGAGCTGTACATTCTAATAATTCATACCTTTCTATTATTTTTATGTATCTGGTTATTTTGTAGTATCTTCTCTAAACCTTTCTGTTTCTACTTTCAACTCTTATGTTCTAGAGGTGTTTGCTTTATTAGGGGAAGCAATGGTTTTTGGTTTTTTAAAT